GTAAAAAAAAAAAAAAAAAAAAAAAAAAAAAGAAATAAACACTGGCAAGGGGTGGAGTAGGGGATCGACTGGAAGCTCCACTGAAAAAATGACAAGAGGAAGTGCACCCCTTTCCTGAGGGACTGAACCAACTTCCTTTCCTCCACCAAGATACCCAGGTAGGTAAGTGTTGCCCGCAAGGAAGATTCTGAGGAGTCTGAGACTCCTCCCCCACCCCAAGAAATGTGTGGTAGGGAAAGACCAGCAAAGGAGATTCCTCCCCACAACAAGCAAACCAGCCCCAAAGGCCAAGACAACCTTCCCCAACCTAGCTGTAGCAGGTAGCCCAGCCTCGGGCACCACCAGTGGGAGTCGCAATGGCACCAGATAAATCAGGCAGACCAAAATAGCACTATGAAGTGTTAGGGTTAGGGGTCATTGGAACCACAGCCCACAAAGATCAGGACCTGCATGCTAAACCTAAACAGAAAGACTGCTCACAAAAACAAAAAAATTATATAGGACCCAGCATCTCCTAACATAATAACCAAAATGTGTAGGACACAACAGAATATCACCTGTTATACCACAAACCAGGAAAATAGTAATTTTAATGTAAAAAGACAACTTAATACACTATCACTGAAATGAATCAGATGTTGGAACTATCTGTTCCGTATCTTAAAGCAGCCATTATAAAAATGCTCCAACGAGCAACTATAAATCCCATGGTGACAAATAAAAAATTGAAAATCTCAGCAGAGAAACTGAAGAAAACTCAAATGGAAATTACGGAACTGAAAAATACAACAAAAAATTAAAAATTCACTAGATGGGCTCAATAGTAAGAGTAGAGATGACAGAGGAGTGAATTGGAGAACCTGAGGCCTCATCAACAGTATTCACCCAGTCGGAACAACAGAGAGAAAACAGCCTGCAAACAAACAGAGCCTCACAGACCTGTGGGACAACAACAGAAGACCCAACATTTACCATCTGAGCCCCACAAGGAGACTACAGCTGAAAGAGTACACAAAGAAATGACGACTGAAGCTTTCCAAATTTGGTGAAAGACATAAACTTACAATTCAAGAAGCCAAGCAACCCTAGTGAACATGAAGAAAACCATACCAATTAAACCTCTGAAAACTCAAAACAAAGAAAAAAATCTTAAAAGCAGCCAGAAAGAAATGACAGAATACCCAAAGGG